TTAGAGCCGGAAAATTTTCTATTTATTTGCAATAAGCAATTACTACTTGGCTCAAGGCTCTATTCAAAGCAGATGTTCTCAAAGCAACTGGAACTGTTTGTGTGAGCTTTCTACTTGGGATTATTATGTACTAATTAGCAGACTCCAAGATTTTAAGCGCAATTTATTTTTGGACATTGACAGCAAATTTTTTTTCAAGATTAAAAATAGGTTCCGACGGAAATTTTGCTACGGGCCACAAAACGCTGGTTATGCAAAAAAATGCAAATAAACTTCCACAATTTTCCTGTCAGGTGGAAACGCGGTTTGACCACTCATAGTTCCGCTATTTCGCTTCCTCAAATTGCACGGTTGAAGTTGAATTTTGTCTTTTAATCTTTGAAATATTGAAATCAATTTGGCTGGTTTTCCTGATTCCAAATGCTTGGCACGCTGAAAATCTTAATCATATAAATGGAAAAAAACCGTAGCGTTCTTGATATCTTGTGCCCAAATATAATATCACAAGAAACAAAAAATACCTAATTTCACTAAGTGGTCTATTTGTGAAATTGTAAGCTGAAAAATATCAATCCTGATAAACGCCCACGAATTATATTTATAAGCATGGGAATTGGCGTCAAATATTCTCATTCGTTTTTCATTTCGCTATTTACTTTTAACCCTGGTACTAAGGCCTCCATCTCTCAAAACACTGATTCTTTTTGCACAGTGGCAAGCGACTAATGTGGGAGTTGGAGGCATTTATTAATGGATTGGGAGAAAAAACAGTTTTTGCCATTTGCCCATTGAAATCTAGGACTGAAATATGGAACGCCTTTTGTTAGCTCGTGGGCAGCTTACAATTTGTGATGAAGATTAACTAATCGAGCGTTTTAAAGAAATTACAAAGCCAAAAAAACAGCAGGAAAAGAATAACACTGGAACTGAATGGAAAATTTGTAGATAAGGCACGAGATTAAAGGAACAAATTGCACTCACTGAACGTGAAAGTATAAACAGATTGGCAAGGTTAAATAACAGTAACGGACATAGTCAGATTAGAAGAGAAAAGGCACAGAAAGATGATGGACTGAAGGACGAAAAAGTGGGATTAACTTAATTAAATAGAGTTTACTCTATCTTTGGCTTCGATAGTGTTGATGATTCTCGAACGAATAACCCAAACTATTGAAAGTTTCAGTTTGATAATCCATTGAAAGTTTTTCGGGAGTTGGAAGCGTGTTTCCAAATACTGAAAACTAAGACGCTGGTTTACTTTCAGGAAGAAGCAAATCTAATTTGTATAAATATTGCAAATTGGAATTCAGTAAATGTTCAAATTAAATCCCGATTGAAGCAACAAGAAACACCGATGTGCCGAAATGGGATTGGAAATGCGCCAGGAAGATGTATATGTAATCGAACCTTTTTCCCTGCGATTGAAATGAGCCAGATTTTGTGGGGAATTGGAAAAAACATCAATTAAACGGGTTTCTACCCGTGGGAGTGGCAATTAACATAACAGGCATATTCATATAGAATCAATTTTATTCAGAAAGTGTAAATTAATTGGAGATTTATAATGAAAAAAATATTATATAATCTATGATGCACGTTTTATTCTAAAACAACGGTAAGGCCCTAGCATCCGCTTTAATGCATTCGTTTTATAGGAATCCAAATTCCATTTCGCCTCAATTGAATGAAACTACTTTAATAAATCTTAAGTCCTAATAATAGCAATTAGCGTTATCAGGATCCAAACGCTTTGTTCTTAATCCCCGAAGGTTTAGAATCAAGCGACTAATACAAAATAGAAATGTTGCGCCTCATTGGTTGTAAATTTCCGAGAGTTAAGACATTCTTTCTCAGTTTCACCGAATATTGGCACATCTTGACTTGGAAATAGATAATAGAATTTATATCCGAAGGTTGTAAATTGTTGGTTCTGAACTTCTGGGACCGTACAAACTTTAACTGCTTTAGTTAGTGCTAATGAAGGACGCCGGGTCTAGGTCTAACCGAGGTACAAATTTCTCAATGTAAATTTTATGAATGAGCATTAAAAGAACATTCTCATTTTCATGATTTAATTGCTTTGCACGGATTTTCAGTGCGCTGTTGTTATTGGTGATTTGAATATTTAATTGAAATTAATGTTAAATCTCTCATTATATAAACGGGCCGATTTCAATTGGCGCGGAAAGTAAAATGGAGTCAATTAAATCATTTAAAGAGAGGACGTATGGAAAATATACGTTTTATTAAGTCGCATTTTGTGGCAGTAGCGGCCGGTTTGGATTGAGCCTGCTTTCATTTTGTAAAAAATGGAAGACGTTTCGGAACTTTTCGCGCTAAAATACGGCCATTTTAGAAATTTAAAGCGGTTTTAATCCTGTTCCAAATTCGTTACCAGAACAAACAATTGTAAGTTTTTGGGACGGTACTGAACACATACGAACTCAGTACACTTATTTTATGCAATTAATTTATAGCCGGACTTGTTGTTCGACAATTACCCAAAAAGCGGCGTGTAGATCCGCACATTGATCTATTTGTTAATTTAGACCATTTTGGATACAGTAAATTTTGTTTTATTGGCAATAACAAATACGATAACAATTCGCATATTAAAGCAAACAGTTGCTCGAAAAGGGCAGCTTATTAATGTAAAGCGTATGTAGCTAATATTACACTAAAGCACCCCGTTATGCTCTTTAAACATGAACGAAATAACTATATTCCTATATACTGCTAATTTCCCTGCACCGAAGTGTAACGTATATTGATCAAGAAGCAACAGTGCCTACTTTCTATTGGGGGATATTTTTCAAATCGTGGGCGATTTTTTATTTTAATCGTGAAATGCACTTCTGCATAATTTAAAGGGGTATGACACACATTTTCTTTAAAAAATTTTTAAAAATGACCTGAGGTACAGAGGCGATTAGCTTGTGCAGAACTGGAAGTCATTGGTTAAATATTGCAACTATGAAGGGATGCATTGATAAACTATCAGAAGTTAGAAAATAACCAGTTGAAGCTGTATGTACACACATAAAGTGTGTGCGTTTCTGTTTTGTTTACACGAACCAAGTTTTCCAAAAATTTGCGCACCCAAGACGCGTTAACGACCAAATAATAAATTAAATCATTTAAAGAAAGGACGTATGGAAAATATACGTTTTATTAAGTCGCATTTTGTAGCAGTAGTGACCGGTTTGGATTGAGGTTGCTTTCATTTTGTAAAAAATGGAAGACGTTTCGGAACTTTTCGCGCTAAAATACGGCCATTTTAGAAATTTAAAGCGGTTTTAATCCTGTTCTAAATTCGTTACCAGAACAAACAATTGTAAGTTTTTGGGACGGTACTGAAGACATACGAACTCAGTGCACTTATTTTATGCAATTAATTTATAGCCGGACTTGTTGTTCGACAATTACCCAAAAAGCGGCGTGTAGATCGGCACATTGATCTATTTGTTAATTTAGACCATTTCGGATACAGTAAATTTTGTTTTATTGGCAATAACAAATTTGATAACAATTTGCATATTAAAGCAAACAGTTGCTCGAAAAGGTCAGTTTATTAATGTAAAGCGTATGTAGCTAATATTACACTAAAGCACCCCGTTATGCTCTTTAAACATGAACGAAATAACTATATTCCTATATACTGCTAATTTCCCTGCACCGAAGTGTAACGTATATTGATCAAGAAGCAACAGTGCCTACTTTCTATTGGGGGATATTTTTCAAATCGTGGGCGATTTTTTATTTTAATCGTGAAATGCACTTCTGCATAATTTAATGGGGTATGACACACATTTTCTTTAAAAAATTTTAAAAATGACCTGAGGTACAGAGGCGATTAGCTTGTGCAGAACTGGAAGTCATTGGTTAAATATTGCAAATATGAAAGGATGCATTGATAAACTATCAGAAGTTAGAAAATAACCAGTTGAAGCTGTATGTACACACATAAAGTGTGTGCGTTTCTGTTTTGTTTACATGAACCAAGTTTTCCAAAAATTTGCGCACCCAAGACGCGTTAACGACCAAATAATAAATTAAATCATTTACAGAAAGGACGTATGGAAAATATACGTTTTATTAAGTCGCATTTTGTGGCAGTAGTGACCGGTTTGGATTGAGGTTGCTTTCATATTGTAAAAAATGGAAGACGTTTCGGAACTTTTCGCGCTAAAATACGGCCATTTTAGAAATTTAAAGCGGTTTTAATCCTGTTCTAAAATCGGTACCAGAACAAACAATTGTAAGTTTTTGGGACGGTACTGAAGACATACGAACTCAGTGCACTTATTTTATGCAATTAATTTATAGCAAGACTTGTTGTTCGACAATTACCCAAAAAGCGGCGTGTAGATCGGCACATTGATCTATTTGTTAATTTAGACCATTTCGGATACAGTAAATTTTGTTTTATTGGCAATAACAAATTTGATAACAATTTGCATATTAAAGCAAACAGTTGCTCGAAAAGGTCAGTTTATTAATGTAAATCGTATGTAGCTAATATTACACTAAAGCACCCCGTTATGCTTATTAAACATGAACGAAATAACTATATTCCTATATACTGCTAATTTCCCTGCACCAAAGTGTAACGTATATTGATCAAGAAGCAACAGTGCCTACTTTCTATGGGGGGTTACTTTTCAAATCGTTGATGTTGATTTTTATCGTGAAATGCACTTCTGCTGCATAATTTAATAGGGTATGACACACATTTTCTTTAAAAAAATTAAAAATGACCTGAAGTACAGAGGCGATTAGCTTGTGTAGAACTGGAAGTCATTGGTTAAAGATTGCAAATATGAAGGGATGCATTGATAAACTATCAGAAGTTAGAAAATAACCAGTTGACGCTGTATGTACGTACATAAAGTGCGTGCGTTTCTGTTTTGTTTACATGAACCAAGTTTTTCAAAAATTTGCGCACCCAAGACGCGTTAACGACCAAATAATAAATTAAAGCTAAACTGTTTTTTTTTTACCTGGTAACATGATAAAGAAGAGCGCCGCAGCTAGCAGCTGGTGAAAACCTCGTTTTCTTCGGACCATCTCAAACTATTGCTTCTTCGGATTCATGTCCTCTTCAAGAAACCTCCGGAGTATGCCGTCATGCCCCAAGAGGCAGACAGCACGTCACCTCACTCACTTCGCTACGGCTTAGGACCAGCACTAACTGCTGGCTGCCGTGATAGAGTCCACTAGAGGTATTTCCATAACTGTCAAGCCGTCTTTGCAAGCTGTGCTCTCGTGCTTCGGACGCACGTTTAGTCGCTTTAAACCAGCCGCTCTCGATGCAAAACGCGATCAATAGGAACTCTGCGCGCGCTAGAAGTTGCTCTTCGATGTCGACTATTCAGGATCTCTATACTTCCCAAACTAAGAGAACTCTGGCACAGCGGAAATAAAAGATAGGACGGCCTCTATAGCGTATTTATACAGTCAGTTTCGATCACGCGCGCTTTTGCAACATGCTCTCTAATAACAAATTATAAACAACCAACCAGGAGAAGCTAACATCCCCTCTTGGCGTCCAATTGGTAACAATGCGAAGGAAGCATTCATAGATCGCTGTTTTGATACGGCTGATCATTCTTCTCTTATGAGCTATATTTCACAAAGGGATTTATTAATTCCACATCAACTGCTAGGAGATTAATTAATCTCTATCCACATTGTTCTTTATTTATTTTGCTCCTTCAGCTTCATAGGATAAAAGGGCTTTAATTGGATGACCTAAAAATATATGGCACATTTTCCCACATATTACCAATTTCAAACAAACCCAAACTTGCCAGCTTAAAGTCATATAATTAATGCAAAGGGTAGGGCTCCATAGATCGGCGGCTTTAGCTATAAGTGCTAAGTTTGCAGTTTTCTTAACCAAATTTTCGAAATTCGAAAAAGTTCCCTTTCACCCCAATTCAACGAACATTTTAAGTAGATTATTATGCCAAATAACGCGTCTCGAAAGGGCCTGTGGAAAATCAATCCTCAAATACAGGGGGTCAGTAGTACAAAGCTCCTTTAGAGCACAATCCGGGTTACAAGTTCATAGGCGTACACCTTGGGAATTTTTAGTTTCAATATATTAGCCCCTGTAGTTAACTTTCAATTTTGTCGAACACAACAGGGACATAATGGTAAGATCGATTGTTTAAATCGCGTACACGAAGAAAGAATTAGCAATTGAAAACTGTTGTAAAACATCCTGAATTCTGTATCAAAAATTAAAGGACATTTTGTCAGATTATTAATCTTCTTCAGATTCATATCAATTGGGTCTTTAATAAGAAATTCCTCGAGCAAAGTCAAAGACGTTTCCAGGCAAAAATTTCATTCAACGCGACGTAGGTTGACAATTCCCTAATAACATTTATATTGCTTTATCAAATCTTCTCGCTTTATTAATTTTACAATTAATTCGCATACAGCTTGTTTGATACCAAATGAAATTAATTTTGGACATTCCAGGCATTTTTTCGAAAGCTCCAAATATTTTGCAATTAAGTAAAGCAAGGGCTAATTGTCTTCAAACAATTTCAAACTCTCATCCAACCGAAAATAACGATTTATTCACGTTTATGGTTGTTTGCATGTATGCTGCATATTTGACTCAAAATATTTATCAATCAGAACATTATGAAGCTTTATACCGGAAATTGCGCGAATTTGAGCCAACGAATCTCTGAAAGTTACCATATTCATCAAAAATGATAAACAATCTGTGGTTTCAGTTAATTAAAGTAAAGATTTCTGACTTGAGCATACCGGATTAATTTCCTTCGAGTTTTAGGAAATTAAATTAGTGATTATTTTAAAACCAGGATTTTCGGGTAACCAGCACCTCTATATCGTGCATTTGAGAGGGGCTTAATAATATTTATGCTAACTGAAGAGCTAAAGCTTTAATAACGGCGACTCATCATTAGATTTAGGGTTGCTAAATGAAATAATAATTAAATAAAAAAAGAAGAATGACAGGGATAAATTAATTAAATAATGCGATTGAATAAAGAGAAACGAAGGATCTGCAGGAAAGTAGACATTTGCCCCCAAAAGTAAGAAATAAATGTGAAAAAATATATTACAGGGTGTACGGTAAGCACATGATCAAAATTACATTTTTCGGCTTAAAAGAAGGCTATATGACTTAACTTTTTATTTATTGATGGTCAAAGTTCTACAAGAAAATGATGTTTTTCGAAATATCGGGAAAATGATGATGGCTATGAGTTTGTTCTTCTGTAAAATTCATTTTTTATGGAACAGCCACGTTCATCAGCTTTGGACAGTAGTAAATCGTTGTGTGCTTTAGTACAAAAACTACAAGCACTTTTTATTGGGTGGCTGGAATCTACTGTGATTTTGTTAGATGATGCATTGGTCTTTTGTCGACATGTTTGTGCTTTTTGTAAAATATTGTGGCATTAACAGTTTTTGTCCCAAAATATTATTTATCTTGCCTTGCTATTAACAATGTAAAATTGACGAAAAAGCGAACTTTTGAGCTGAGCTCGGTAACTTCATCAAACATAGGAGCAAATCCAGAAGAAGTTTCATTCACATCCATCAAAGCAATGTTCCGATATTACAAAAAACGTAATTCAAGATTTGTTAATGTGAACAGTTATTTAATGTCTAAAAATATGAATTGGCAAGTAAACGGAAATTTTTTTGCGCCAAACCCGAATTATTTTACAAAAAGTCCAAAATGTTGAAAAATGATTGGTGCATCATCCCCAAGAAAAATCAGTTGATTCCAGCCATCAAATAAAAAGTTCTGGTAGTTTTTGTACCAAGATACTAAAGAATTACCCACTTGCCCAAAGCGGACGGACTCGGTTGCTTTATCAAAATATGAGTTTCACATCAGAACAAGTTTAATTCAAATCCATAGTATCAAAAGACTTTTCGAACAACTTTGACTATTAATAGCAGACGCGACAGACAACTTTTTTTGAATAAAAGTTACATCAAAAAATGTCGTCTTGATTATGTCGTTACGGGACACCATCTACAATAGACAGACAGCCAAGCAAAATACACAATAGGCATTAAGAAAGTATATCTGTTCTGTACAAAGCATCTTCAGTTGTTATTAGAAATCAATTAAGCTCAATGCAGACAAAAGTGCGGTAAGACAAAGCTGAAAGTTTCTCGTTCAAATGCGAATTTACGCCTACGCCCTAGTTTAAATTATTGCTCAACCTGCAAATGGAAAAGTTTTAATTTTCAACAGTCCTAAAGGTTTAAAACATTTCTAAAAGGTCGTTTTAATTTTGAGCCAGAAAATTTGGGGGTGATTTAGGTGAATGTAGACTTCGCTGCAAGGAAAAGCTTTTCGCTTTTACAAAGTAATAAATGCGACCGATTTTAAAACTAGGAACTAAATAATATATGTATTTGTTTTTAGGTCGGAAAGATACATTTAACGACGGAGCAAGGCGAGCATGTGCGAAAAAGACCTCAAGAGGAGACCTATTTAATATTTAGTTACGGACGGAAACTTGCTTTATGTAGCAATTAAGCGGCAAATGCGTTCTAAAGCCGGCATTTGGACCCCGCAAGATGTAATAGAAACTCAAATAAATGTCTCAACATACGAATTTTGATGTATTAAATGCAGTAAGCTCCTTTTCCTTAAGCTCTGACTGCTGTCCAATTTGTATTCACAGAATAAAAATCTGTGAAACATGTTTAATAATTAAGTTGAATGTCGGCTCTAAAATATTTAACTTAGAACCATTGGAATTGCGGGACCGACTGAAATAAGAATGTCGCGAGCTTACTCCAATTATGCTTTGCCCTATTTTATACCTCTTTAGAAGACATATTTTAAGGCTGCTGCGCGCAAGATTAGGTACATGTTAGTAGCTTGGTCCAAAATTACACAATTGATTAAATGTTTTGAGCTGGAAACTCCATTTATCAACTCGCAAAATACACATTTGAAGAGAAATCAAAGGTTTTGCAAATATTTTCTTATCTCATATGTATACAGCACGGTTTGGGGAAAGCACAACGCAACTACACGAAGCAAATCATTAGTCTTGTCTTATCGTAAGAGGAAACTCGAGTGGATTTACATATCGTTACTAATTCCATTGAATAATAACACACCCGCGAATTATTTTTTCATCGAAAATCGTTTAAAACACTGAATTTCTCTGAATAACGTGGCTACAACCATATTTTTAAATCCCAAAGTAGAGCAAAAATGCAACGGTGGAAACTACTGACCTACTGCCTTCTTGGTAATGATTTAAGGCAATTGAGGTGTCAGCTGTTATGGGGTCGGAACACTACAATTCTGCTTTAAATTCATTTTTGACTAGTCACGTTGTTGAGCTTAGATTAATGTTTACTGCCCAAACTTAAGCCCAATGTGAATTTATTCTGTTAATGGAAATTTTCAAAATCAAAGAAATTATTGGCATTCTCCAGCTGATATAAGTGAGCACAGATATCGGACTGTGTTACTATCAGGCACTTCCAGGACCAGTTCGGAGCCTATTAGATTTCATCAATTGAAATAATACCCCTGCACTTCATTTTGTCCAAATATTTTAAATTGCGGCAAGTCCAGAGGTGAAAAGTTGTGTTATTTTTATGCTAAACCCAGCTGATGAGCATTAAAAGGTTTGAAACCGGTCCCGGGCTGCCTCAGATGAACACATCTCGAAGTCAGTACTTTTCCTTAGTATTTTTTCAAACCTTCAATCTCTAGCAGGGTCACTAATAACAGCTTTAAAAACTTTTGGCAATTTTTCTTAGTATCACCATCTGGAATGTGCATTACAGTACATCAAAATACCAAGTTTTACTTCACGAATATTGACTGAGTAGAAGCTATTTGCTCAATTAACTATTCGATACTTGCAATTACGCATTATTTCAAACTTAAGGAAACTGAAACCTTGATATTAATAACTAGCCAACAAGTTTCTCGAAATTGTCAGCTTGAAATAGAAAGATAAATGACGTGTCAGCTTATTGCCTAGTTTCCAGGTTCCTGAGAATGCATAAGGGTCTAACTTCGAACGCTTGTTTTACCCATATAGCGACACAAATTGCTATTTTTTCGGGTGTTAACTTTGAGTTGTTGATTTTCGCTACGCAAACTGTTGTAAGAAAATTATTTTTTTATTTGCCTCAGCCATCTAAATTGTCAACTCAGCTTTGCGAAATAAAGAAAAGTGTAGTTCCTCGTCCCACATCGATTTTAACGTCTTTAGTGAAGGCAGAAAAAGAATATCCCCGATCTTAAAGAACACGAAATGATTGCCGAAAAGATGTTTATAGGGATTATTTTCATATCCTTTTAAGAAAAGAAATATCGTCGGTTAGCTCCTCGACGTAACATAATTTATAGAGATTGCT